AGCCCCAGGCATCTTACAGTCTTTTTTGTGGCCAATGAAACCTACTGTATGTTTAGTTGGCTCTGTCATGACTGCCTGGCCTGGCAGAGCCGCCTACAGGTCAACAAAAGGGAGACACTGCTCTCTTCACTTTCTTTTATTGTTTACAGACGTAGTCGGCGGCGGATTGGCATATTTCTACGACATGTCAAATAACTACAGGACTCTCACTTCCCAATTTCCTTGCGGTACGTTGCCATCTACAGTATGTCGCCAATACCAAGGGAAGGGTCTGTCATGTATCTTCCACCCCTTGGTGAAATAAATCCTCCGTTGGAGAGTGGACCTAGACTCCCGGAGCCCAAGGCTTTCGATCACCCAGTCGTGGTGCTTGCAGTCGATGCTGCGATACAACAAGCTTCAATCCTTGTGGTTCGTGCCTCTGTCCCTTGATATTTGATCATCGTGCTGATTCGTTATGCTGGTTTATCCATCAACAGATTACCTCTTTCAGTGGTATGCGACTCGAGGAGAAATATCGAAGACGACGGGTTCGAGAGCGATATGTTCCGTTGCCTCCGGCGGACAAACACCCTGACTCCGGGCGCCTCCTGGAATTTGAGCAAGATATGGAACTCAAGAAATCATCATATGTCAAAATTAAACCTCTGTATGTCGTACCACTTCGCGTTCTTCGCAAAATGAGGGAAAGGAGGGCGTTTGTCCTCACTGCCGCCTCCAGAAGCCTTCTTTTGGAAGTTAGCGGTCTCGGGCCTAGCCTTCTAGGCACGACCGGAGAGATGACCGGAGAGATGGCCAGTTTAGCATCTTTGTCCCGGTCGTCCCTTGCCCCAGGATACGAGACTGTGCCTCTGGGCAGGCAGACATCCTCGTTCAATCAGCAAGGCAACCATGGCGTATTGCGGCTGAATCCAGCTGAGACACCTGTGCCTACCAACGGAACTCATTGGCTTCCGTCGCCAGTGTCCGTCTCCAATCAAGGCGAACCAAAAATTGGCCTTTTCTACACTCTTACCCCTAAATGCATGTATCTCACCCTCGTCCTGGTTGGAATTTCTGGATATGTTGTCTGGTCGAGTTTGCCGAACTAGAATTTTTGATTGTTGGTTCCATTTCCTTCGTTTGGCATATTCTGCGGTCTGGGCTCCGTAAAAACAGATATCTTTGTCCGGTATTGTTTTATTTTGACTGTTTTCGTTTTTGTAACCTAGGGTTAGCTTGGAGCGAGGGGAAATAAGATACCTTAAAACGATGGAAAATTCAAGAGCCCGGATTGAGTGACCATACCAAACCCCCCCTTTAGAATGGAGCAAGCCCATTCACCACAGGTTACCTTTGAAGTTGATACTATCGGCCAGATAATTGAAAGAGGCACTCGTTTCTGCTGTAGCTTTGTCGAGCACTAATCTATGTCTCTCGCCATGCTCTTTCAGAAGGTCAATACTTGCCGCTAAACGGGGCCTCATAATGCATAGAGCGCAATATGGTCTGCCTAGCCTAAGCCAGGAGCGGCCAGATAGATGACTCAATGGTAACCACGACACTTTTGAGTAAATTTTGTGTTTTTTACGCCCTGTTTTGAATGAATTCGCGATGGAAGTGGCGTGTGACACGTGGCTCCAACACGCTAGGCAGCCAGAAGTCTTTGTATCGCCCAACTCCTATATACCTGATTCTTTGTTATAAATTTCCTTGATAGTTAGGCAAACAATTCTCCGAAAGTGACGTGTGTCGATATAATTGGGCTCCTTCTCACTGCATGATGTGATGAATATTCTGGTCATGCGATATCTGCGACGACACTGGGCTACGTCATGTGGTGGTTGCCGGAAAAGAAAATGTTCTAAAAGAATTAATTAATATTTCCAGCCATAGGTACTTTTACACGAGTTAGATGGCAGGTTTCGAGCAACCCTTTCCCAGGACATGCTCACGCTCTAGGGTGTGAGCAAAGCAAAATGAACGGACTCAAACACTGGTTCTGGAATATGTCACTCCCACTTTCCAATCCATATTTCCCGGAGTCGGCCCCAGCGGCTCCATCGGGTGCCTCCCAGCATATGGCCGACATAGTTCCCATTTCGGAACTGGAAAATGCCAACCGAGCACGTTGACCACTTGGATCAAAGCGTCAGATCTGTTTGGAGATAAAGCGGGGGTTGCTCCTTAGAAAGACCGAACTCAATATATCTTGACGCATTTGACATGCGGGGTATAAAACCCAGTGACCTTTAAGGGGACTTATCGTATTCTCATTTTCTGTTTCTCGAACAATCAAATCCGAAAATAAAGCTATAGTGGCTACTAGTTCTGCTTGAGGCCATAGACCATCTCTAGAACATAACGCAATCCGCAAAGCAAGACCTTATATTCTTACTTAACACCTGGCTTCCTATTTGGCTTCCAGAAAGGCGGTGCGAAATGGAATTTTCTGTGCCAGTCTTAGTCCTACTCTTCGCATTGCTTCTCACACTCGTGCGAGTCTTGTGTATAACTCCTCTGCGCTCTCCCCTCCGCACTGTTCGCGGTCCATTCTTTGCGAGGTTCACGGATGGGTGGTGCTTCTGGCAGGTCTGGAAGGGATCTTTCCAGCATGTGAACCAAGACCTACACAAGAAATACGGTAGTGAGTTCCAGACAGAACATTGAGCTAGACTAATCAATTCGAACAGGGAGTATCGTACGTTATGGCCCGAACCGTTACAGTATCGACGACCCGGAAGCCGCCAAGATAATATACGGCCTTGGTAGCCATTTCCCAAAGTCATCATGGTACTCGACTTGGGCTAGTCCCGGATCATGGGCGATATTCAGCGATCAGTCAATCAAGCGCCATGCTCAGAACAGAAAGCTATACCAAGCCACATACGCGATGTCCTCCTTAGTCCACTACGAGCCTTTCGTCGACAGCTGCATCGACATATTCACGGAGCGCCTCTCCGATATGTCTGAATCCGGGCTCCTGGTAGACATGAGACACTGGTTTCAATGCTACGCCTTTGACGTTATCGGATTGATCACGTACGCCAAACGACTAGGTTTTCTTGACCAGGGAGAGGACATCGGAGGCGTCATTGGGGCGCTAGAGGAGCATCTCGGCTACGCGACTCTTGTTGGGATTTTTCCGAGCCTGCATCGATATCTGTTTTCCATAAAGAACTATCTAGCTGGTTCCCGGGGATCGGGGAGGGCGTACGTTCTGAAGTTCACTAATGAGAGAATTCGGGAAGCACAGGTGATACCGAAACCCGTCGAAACCGAAGAGAGCTCCGTCGCAATGGAGGACTTCCTCACCAAGTTTCTAGCCAAGCATGCAGCGAACGCCGATTTGTTCACAAACTACCACGTGCTTGCCGGGTGCACCTCCAATATGGTTGCGGGGTCTGACACAACGGCTATCAGCTTGTCAGCAGTTCTCTATTATCTGCTCAAGAACCCTCACTGTTTGCTCAGGCTGAGAGAGGAGATCGACGGCCTTGCGGCACAATCGGACCCTTCAAAGTTTCCCACATTCAGGGAGAGCCAGAAGATGCCATATCTACAGGCCGTCATCAAGGAAGCACTGAGGTTGCATCCAGCTACTGGTCTGCCCTTGGAACGTGTAGTTCCTGAAGGCGGCGTGACGATATCAGGACGGTTCTTCCCCGAGGGCGTAAGTGTTTGAGTATCGTATTTCTTTCGAACCGAATCTCTAATTTTCAATACAGACTATTGTAGGAATCAACACATGGGTAGCACATCGCAACAGACATGTCTTCGGCGAGGATGCCGAGCGATTCTACCCCGAGAGGTGGCTGATTGATGATAACAATAAGCTTTCGTTAATGAATCGATACTATTTTCCGGTAAGCGCTCTCTTTTAAGTCAATAAAGGCGATTTTTTAACAAGCGTTCGTATTTTAGTTCGGCCTGGGCTCGCGGACATGTATTGGCCGCCATGTGTCCATGCTTGAGATGTCAAAATTAATTCCTCGCCTTGTTCGAGACTGGGACTTCCAACTTGATACATCTCTACATTCCAAGGAGTGGCGAACGCTGAATTATTGGTTTGTGAAGCCGCTGGATTTCAAGGTAGGAATCAAAAGGCGCCAGTTGGTGAAGGGTGTAAATAGTAAGGAGTAGGAACACAGACTGCAATGAGAGCATGGATCGAGCTTAATTTTTGACAAGACCGAGACAACCGAGGGCATTTTCTTCTGCTCTACGACTCAACTCTACTCCCTTCAGTGGGATGGTCAAGCTCTCTTTCACCATTTGTATAGGCACGCGGCTTTAGTTCTAGCTTGCAGCTCAGCCCCTCCACGGAGTAACGTATACGGGCAGAGGGTTCTCTAATTATTACTATTCTGTATCCTTATCGTCGGCGGATATTTCTATATTTGATGAAAGTGATGGGGCCATTCTTACCGTCGTACAAGCCAAACCACGCAAAGCTCAAGTACATCACAAGAGTTATGGTCAATTGTATGCTGAACCTGTAAGATAGGGCTGGCATCCATTCTCTTCGGGGAAGATGTCGCGGTGTACGAATTCTAGCGAACTGTCTGCTCGGGGGAAACTGCCTACTTGGAGAAAACCGATCAATATCATTTTCCTGCAATCACCGATTCATCTTGGAGCCCTAATAAAACTCGGGATTGTAATTCACCTCGTTATGGCACAGGCCGTGCCCTTATTAGCAAATAAGTGAGCTACTAGCAATTTACAAGGGTCGCACATGGCAAGGCAGAATAGAGAAAATCTCAACACCTGCCTCAAACACACTGTAGGCTGATTTGCACGGCCCCACACTATGTAAGGCACCGTGAGGGGCAGCTCAGCAGACATCTTCACATCTTCACATCTACTCTTCTTCGATACTGATTCCTTCGGCGGAAAGAAAGTTATATAAATAATATATAAATCTTACAATTCAGTTCCTCTAGCCTTTTTGTGTTGCAGAGTAATACTATTTTCAGACGTTGTCCGCCACTTTCTTCGTCAATCAGACATTTCTTGTGATGGATATCAAATCAGGGATAGTCTCTTGGCCGTACGCCTGCCCTGGCGGTTTGATCAAGAAGCTGCAGTCGCAGCACAGGAGGCATATTCGAAAAATCAAATCACTCGACACCTGCTATGCAAAAACCAGTAGCTGGGGCAGGTTTGCGTGTGCTGACGACTTGGGCATCGTGCACAAGTTCATCAGGACTATAGACGCGCTTGAGGTGCTCAGCATCAGAACTCTCGAGGAGGATGTGTCTGGTCTTTGGCCAGTTATTTTCCGACAAGCGGATTCCTTAACATCTTTGATCTTTCGGCCGTACCACGATTACAATTTCATCGCTGTAAAGCCGCAGACAGTGAGCGAGATTGCATCTCGGCTTCCTCATCTGGTCCATTTGGGGATAGACGTCTCGTTGCAGGATGCAGAAGCTGCACTGAAAGAGGTGGCTAAGCCCCGTACCCCGGGGCAACCACAAGAAGAGTCATCTATCGATGAGCTTGTGAAGATGAGCGGCCTCAAAGAAGTCGAACTATTCATCAAACTCTCGATGGAGTCATCTTCTTTTTGTGGACGAAACACCTTCAGCGCCGCCGGCACCACATCAAACCCACCAATCAAGCCCAGAGTCAGTCTTCGCCTAGCTCAAGGTATTTTTGACAGGTTCCTCACTCACGATGCCCAATCTCCAATTGAGAGAGTGAGCATTCACTTTCTTCGCAACTGCTATGAGGATCGTGGCCAGTATAGCGCACTACACTCGACAGCCTGGGTGGAAATGAACGAAACAGGGTTTGAGAAACAAGTAGATCGAAGCTGGCAGTCGGATCCCGCGGAAATGTCAAGCGAGGTTTGGGAGGAAATTAGACAAGCGGATTCTGAATTCGCGGGAGGGGCTTAGAAAAGATACGGCTGCCGACCAAAGTCGTCCATGTCAAAACTCGCTTTTGCAAGCGCTTCTCCGGGTTTATGCTTAGCTGTTTAAAAGAAACTACTAATCTAACAAGAACATCTTAACCAATACCGCCACCACAGCATCACGCTCAAGTTCAAACATTGGAGATCATTGGTCCATAAGATCTCAACATGTTCTTTTCTTCAAAATCTCTCAACTGAAACCTTAAGGCAGTACAATTCGGCATCCCCCTGACCTCTCTTGACCTTCAGTTGCTTCTTGGCGACAGGTTCCTCCGGTGCTAGCTTTGTAACTCGTCCACCTCTCACTCTAATGACGCGCTCAGCCTTTCTTTTGACCAATACAGCCAAGACGCCCTGTAAATTAGGCGGAGCAGGCTAACTTTGGCATGTACATTCATCTCACACAACACAAGACATCAAATCATGCGGTAGCTACGTGGTCTATATTTATGCTATCAAAAAGAAACTGGAGTTGAAACGAGACAGTTGGCTTCTAATTTCAGCCATCAATCGGGGCCAGCTTAGGTGGCTGTGCAGTCAAAGTGTGATTCACAATGTGTCACGGACCTCCCACCTCGCCAATCATCCCCCCCCCCCCGAAGCTCTTGAGCTACTACCAACGGCTAAGCCTGCTCATGAGGCCTTTCCCTCCTACAAGAGCATGATGACCTAAGCAAGAGCGGAATGATAACAGCTTAGGTCTCCGTTTGAATGATGAGAAGGCTGCCAGAGTATGTCAAAGATGGTGCCTCATGTCTCAGATCAAAAGATCTTTCTAGGTGTTAGATGACGTACAACCTTCACCGAGGCTTGGAATTTCGAGAGACATAGCACAAAAGAAAAAAAGAACTCCGCCTCAATAATGGTCTATTTTAACTGATTCCTGCAAGCCTTTCTTTATTTCCCCTCCCCTTCCCACTCATTTCCTGCCTGCTGATGAAAGCGCCCAACCCGGACTTATTAACCAGCGCAAGTCAACTTGATTACAATGTACCATCACGGTCAATCTCCTCTCAAGGGTTCGTACATATCTCTCGATACGTTGGATAGGCAAGAAGAAATGAGGGGGCATACCTACGAAGATACACCTGGTGAGGCGTCAATCAGCCCCCTATCGCCATTGATTCGCCACGTCGGATCTCGACTGGAGTTTTCAGAGAGATCTTCCTCTGAATACGCTGCAAGAGAAACCCCAGGTCACCCCGACAGTGATTGTCAAAATGGAAATCAGTCCAAAACCGGGTCACGAAGGCGGATGCCAACAGGTTGGAGGCTTGGCACGATGCTGGCAGCCGCCTTGACATTTGTCATCTTCCTGATAAACACGATTCTTGCTGTGGTGTTCACTTCAAGCGTTCGCCAGAGCGGATATTCCGGCAGCATCGCACCTGTTCGCACTGGCGATTGCGGAGCCATCAAGTCGCTTGCAACCGGCACCCACATTCTCATCAATATCGTCAGCACGTTGCTCCTTGGTGCAAGCAACTATTGCATGCAGACCGTCAGCGCCCCAACGCGACAAAATGTCGACAAGGCTCACGCCCGGGGCAAATGGCTGGACATTGGAATCCCTAGTGTCCGCAACTTGCGTTATATCGAGAAGAGAAGGCTTCTCATCTGGCTCTGCTTAGGCCTTTCATCTGTCCCACTCCACTTCGTGTAATTTTTGTCCCGCCATTGGTATGAATATTCGAAACTAATTCAAGTACAGTTATAACTCCGTATTCATTGTGTCCACTACAAACCATTTATACCGAATCCTGCTGGTTAACGAATCTTTCATCAAGGGAGAACCGTTTTACAAAGACAACTGGTCACCCTCCGAGCCTGGGCTCGTTCAGAGCCTACAGTTCATACAAGAGGCAGTGCAGAACGATGAATATGAAAAGTTGGCACCGGACGACTGTATAAAAGCGTATGCAAAGAGTGTAGTCTATGACAGAGCAAACGTCGTTGTGGTACTCGACCCAACAGAAGACTGCCACGAGTTTAAAAACTTGACCATATTTTCTTATGAGGGTAGTACTATGCACTGCGAGCCTCCAATGAACAGCTCCATCTACGCTTCGCTCCTCTACACAGCCAGTTTCACTGACATTACGGGCACGACTGATTGGTTTTCTTGGATATGCTCCCTGCATTCTGATGAGGCATATCGGTCGAGGCAGCCGAAGTGCAGCGACGGAGCTTGGAAGAACCAGATGAGCCCAGCTACTTGGGCAATAGGAACCGCCCGAGTCGAGTACTGCTTGAGCCAGAAACCGAAAGACCAATGCCAGCTGAACGTTGCTCTCAACCTCATCTATGTGGTTGTCTGCTTCAATGCTGTAAAATTTGTGGTCATTGTTTTCTTAGCCTTGAGCAATCTGGTGAATCGAGAACCCCTTGTCACCATTGGAGACGCCGTTGCCTCGTTCATCGACTCTCAAGAACGAGCGACGAAGGGAATGTGCTTGCTGTCCTCTGCTGAGGTCCATGCTTCTCAAAAATTGGATGAAAATCAAGAGATACCAGCCGTCGTATATAAGCCGCAGAACAGCAGATGCTCGGCGGCCGTTAGCCTTCGCCGCTGGCTGTTGGCTTCCATACTGTATGTTTTTTTTTTCGTTTGACATTAAGAGCTCGATTAACCAGTTTGACAGTATCTTTGTAGCTTTAGCTATTCTCATCGGGCTGCTGGGGTATGGTGCATATGATTTGACCGAGCGTTTCTCACGTGGTGATGGACAATCGATGTGGGATCTTGGCATCGGTACCATCAATCCATATACGGTCATTGGCTGGAACTTGCCGAGACTAGGCGAGGCGTCGGTCATAGTTACTGTACTGGTTTCCAACTTGCCCCAAGTCCTGCTTTCTTTTCTCTATCTCAATCTGAATGGCCTGATCACATCGATGGCGGGTGCTATCGAGTGGTCGAAGTATGGCCAAGGTACTCAGCGCCCCCTCCGTGTATCTTTCCCAAAAGGGAGCCAGCGGTCAACATTCTTCTTACAGCTTCCGTACCGATATAGTATCCCGATGCTGTCTCTCTCGGTTTTGATGCATTATATGGTCTCTCAGAGCTTGTTTGTTGTGCAGGTGTTCGACAAGCTCACCGGGCTACCTGGATATGATGCAGATTATCCGGGCGTTGATAAGGCAATTACGGTCCCTGCCTACTCCCCCATGGCCATTATCTTGACAATTATTATCGTGGGAGTAACATTCTTTGGCATAGTGGGATTAGGTAGGGTCCGATTGAGGGATGGCCTACCTGTAACCAGGAACAGTAGCTTGGTTATCTCAGCCGCATGCCACCCATTGGAGGGGACCTCAAGCATGGATGCCGTGAAATGGGGGGTGGGACTAACTGCAGAAGACCAGGTGGGCCATTGCTCCTTTTCCAATCATGAGGTTGGTTTCCCGGAGGAAGGAAAGGCATACTCGTAATCGGACAGAAGGAAGATTTATTCGACCACATGCTTGTATGCGAGTCTACTCATACTTCATAACGTTTCTTTCGAAAGTTCTTTTCTCTTTTGCCTGAAACCCGCTCGGACGTCCGTCTTCGACATCCAACTCCGTTAGGGGCACTTCTAAAAAAAGAACCCCGCGTATTTCCTATCTCCGGGATTGAAATACCCCAAAACGTGGCTAGTTGGCTCTCGTCAAAAATAATAATCGTAGATGCCCTTTTCGATTTCTGTGTTGAAAACAGTCGAAAACATACCTAAACAAAACCAAGGCAATGAAGCTCGTCATTTGCGGAGGGACTGGCTATGTTGCCACAGAGCTGATCCGTCAAGGCCTCGCGCTGCCCCAAATTAGCAACCTGGTTGTCCTCTCCCGCCGGCCCATCACCGTGCCTGATGGCGCAAATGCAGCAAAGTTGAAGCAGGTTCTGATCGAGAAGTATGACGAATACCCGGACAATGTGAAGAAGGAATTAAGCGGCGCGAGTGGGTGTATCTGGTAGGTGCCTCCGTCAAACCGGGAGGGCCGGGAAGGGGATGCTGATGACACCGCAGGACTGTGGCCATTACGCCATCCAAGGCTACTCGTTATGACTTTGAGGTGGTGCGGACTGTATGCCAGACCAGCACCATGGCTTTCCTCAATGCATTCATGGACACCAAACCGACCAGCAAGTTCCGCTTTATTTATATGAGCGGTGCGACTGTTGAGCGAGACCAGACCAAGAGGCCGTGGTTTCATGCAGACTACGTACTTATGAGGGTTTGTCATGAGATATAATTCCTAACTCCCGTCAGGGCAAGGACTAAGTTGTGCGTGCTATATAGGGCGAAACCGAGAGCAAAGTGGAGGCATTTGCAAAGGAGCACTCTGACCATGTAGAAGCTCAGATTGTCAAGCCGGGCCTCATTACAAGCACCGCCACCTTAACACGGGCTGCTTCCTCGGCTTTCTTGAAAGGGCTAAGTTTAATGGTTGGGTTTATACAGAGCCTCACGGTGCAGGAAATCTCCGCTGCCATGCTGTCGCAAGTCGTCAATGGGTTTGAGAAGGACGTTCTTGGTACGGACGACCTCAAACGTATTGGGCAAGATGTTCTGTCCAAGGGGGAGGAGTAGTTGCTGGTTGATTTTACAGGGGAACGGAGAATTGCTATCTTTCTACGCCAATGACTCATGTTTTCAAACGTGCTTTTTTAGGATCTTTATAAAGACCTTGACTCTTTCTTTCATCAATCAATGATGGCATGTCCAGCTAGGCATTAGATCCTATCATCGTCGAGCTTCTCTAGCCAGCTATCGCTCATACGAATAAGTGCCATAGTTTACAGCCTTCCAAATGGCGGAGCGGCACAACTGATCGCCGCATGTTTCCCTCTGCGCCCAAAACGAGCATTGGGAATTGGGGTGCGGGATTATGAAAGTCGCCAAGGTGAAGGAACCGGCTGATGGGAGCCAGTGGCCGCGCGGGATTGGGGACGGCATTGCATGTGCCGGTTGTCCGCCGGTCGTCCGTCGGAAGCCTGATTGACGTGCTTGTTACTCTTTGGTTGATTCAATGAAGTCGGAAAATAATGTACACATATGCTTAGGGCTTCCTTATCCTAATTTCTTACACATACTATAGAAGAAATAATATATCAGACCTCCTTAACAGAGACGTTTCTTATGCAACATAACACAAAGCACTCTTCCATAACCACCCATTCTCACTTCTCGCCTTTTGGCAGACATTATTAGGTCCGGTCCCAAAAACCAGCTGCTTGACCGATTTTCCCTTGCAGCCCCAGTCATCGTAGAAATAGCAGTAGTCGCCAAGAATGCCTCCCTGGGCTTTTCCGGGATTAACAGCCTTGAGGCTCTGGGAGTCTCCAGGCATCTTGAGTGAGAAGCATTCCGCAGTCTTGCTTCCGTCGGTTCGGCCAACTTGAGGAGACCCGATCGAATATGTGTAGGCAGATCCGTTGGCCTTGCCGCAGGTTGGGGATTTGAAGAAATCGATGCGGATGGCCTGGTTAACTCCAGGCGTTCCGGGTAAGGCCAGCGCAGGCTGTGTGACTGCCAGAATTGCCGTAGCGAGAGTGACGAGGCTGGTGGTGTGCACCCACATGATGGCACTTGGCGATGGTTCAAGTTGATGGTATTAAATTTTAAAAAAAAAATTGGAACAGAAGTATCAAAAAAGCTGGTATCAGAAAAACTGCTGGATTGGCCCAATATATAATTCTCAGAGACGAAAAGAAGCATGAACGGGGCTGCAGCTGCAAGGTACGAGATGCCGCAACAGGTAAGTCGTAGGCTATTTAAAATTTCAAGTCAGATAAACGAGGCCTATACTAGTTGAATCGCATCGTCTCCCTTGCTAAATCTGGTGGCTCGTACGCATTCCACTTAATGAGAAATATTTTATTCATTTGTGATATCCAATCAACATTCTGGACTCGCTTTTAATTAAGCCTTCAGCATCCAAGCTGAAAAATAAGTCTACCCGTGCCCACCCTATACCTTTCCACTCAAGTTCCAATAACATACTCAAAAAGTGAATGGTTTCCTTGCAAGAACCAGTAATACAAAATTTGTAAGAGGAAGTTGAATATTGGCCTTTCCGATAATATTCTTCCGCTGTTGTGTTAACTAATGGAGTTAGAAGTCTGAATGTTGGAGCGGCAAGCGACCGAGATGAAACTAGGCACACCAGAGCGCTTGTTTTGGAAGCTAAAGGCTTCGTTTTCTTATTAATAATACTAAACATAACAATAGTAAAATAATAATTATTCTATAATATTTAACTTGATATTATATTTATCACTAGGTTCATTGTTCCAAGGCCGGATTTTGGTGTGCCATGATTTATTTCAGCCACTTGAGCGGCCACAACAGTCTCCTTCTTGAGGCATCATTCCCCACTGCAATGCGCCGAGCTAAGTTTGCCAAGCCAGGTTGAGGCTGAGGCTTATGGGGCACTTGATGCTAGCACCCAGTCATGAGTCTCAAAAGAATGGGACAAGGAAGGAGCGCATCCACCTGTTGAGGCTGGTGAAAGGCGCCAGCCAATCGCATGTGGAGCGGGTTAAAGAGCGATGAATACGATGGAAAACCCCCAAGTTGCCCCGCTTATCCCTCGCTTGGCCACTCGGTGATCACAAGAAGCGGAATCTCGAGATGAATTGCCAAGGATATAAGATGCGCTGGCATCTCTAGATTAAAAAGTTATCAAACATTCGCCTATAAGAAAAAAAGACACGATACTCACGGGCGCAGCTATTTCATTTGCCTTGCGACACAAAAACATCTACCAGAATACCATAACAAGATGGCTACGGCATCCATCCAAGCCAGTGCTGTCCCCATCAGTGACGGCAAAACTCAGACAATTACCGAGACGGCGGCGCCCACACCGGAGTCTGTAGTCAAGCGTCGTTTCGATATTAAGAAGCCAAATGTATTCACCCACTACGACATCTACCCAGAGGACAGCAACACGATGCTACATTTTGTCAGCATCTCAAACTTCACCAGCAACAAGCCAGACCTCACGCTGTACGCGGGCTCAGACACCCAAGCACCGGTGCTGGCCGTCAGCCATATGCCCATGTCAACAAGACATTTCAAGATTGGCCTGTCGAACTCATCGTCGTCCCCCCTCAGCGACAACATGGAGTGGGAGAACCTGGAGAAGCAATCAGTCAAAGGCAACGAGTACCACATGGTCTTCCCGATGGAGGACGGGCGCCGCTGGGAGCTGGCCTGGAAGCGCACCCACGGGCATGCGGTGGACAACAAAGAAACCTCGAGCCTAAGCATGCGGGACTGGAAGCTTGTTGACCTGCAGACGGGCCAGGTGGTCGCCCTTTTCACGAACGAGAGATGGTCCATCGTCAAGACGGGCACGGTGCAGATCAATGGGGAGTTTGGCAAAGGGTTTGACCAGCTTGTTTTCATTACAGTGCTGTCTCTGTATGAAAAGGTCAGGAGACGACACCAGAGAGGTGCATGGTACGCGCACTCTTAGATTGGTGCGTCTTAAGTTACGAAGGACATGGGATTTTTGCGTTTGTCGGCATGAGCTGGTTCATGTTGTTAAGATACCAATTTGTATTTAGGTTCTCGTTTCCGTTTAAGCTTTTTGCACTGGCCAGATTGATGAATGCTTATTTCACAATTTTACCTCTTACCTTATTCATTTAAACGTTGAGTATATCTTCTATGCAGACGACTAGCCTGGAAACAGTGTTACCTATTATATAATGAAGAACACGTGTTGGCATGACCGAAGCTCGTTGCTCAACGAGCTTAAAAGGTGGAGATGTGAATTCTTCTAGAAGAAGCAATGTTCGGCATCTGCCGCGAAGAATGCGACAACTAAAGCCAAGCCTCAAAAGCATGTTGTGCATGCCCAGGATTAGAGTGTTGACTTACATGACGTATGTCAAGCAGACCATCCAGCTAGCGGCAGCATTCAGCTCAATTAGCACAATTAGCACATCGTGAATGACATCTCGTACCATCCCTCCGCCGCGTCCGAGGAGAGGAGTCAATTGTCCATGGGGTCATTCGGGCCGTTAAACGCAATTGGGTCCAATATTATGCAGGCAGCTCTCAGAGTGCGGGGTTTCTTTGGGCCTGTCCATGCAGAAATTTCACCGTGGTGTGTTCTCGGCTGGTTGAGCGGACAGGGAATATTAAACTTTTTTTTCGGGCGGAAAGGAGGCGCTTCACGATACTCTCCAGAAAAGTAAGGTGGTTATCCCAGTAAAACACGAAAAAGTAACTTTGTAAATACCAAATATTCATCTCGTCTCCCATACTCCTGGTCAATTGGCCCGTTCTCCTTTTGTTCTTCTCTTCTTGCTCTCCTCCTCATCATGGTATTTCCCAGCTCAGCGCTCAGAGTGCCCATTGCCCATAACACACAACCTGGAATCAACACGTCATTCCACTAACCAAGAGCACTGGGATCTGCATCACCTGGTCCTCTTTTCCAAGGGCTAACAGCTTCCGATTGGCACTACTCCAATTCGAACCGGTCCTTTTCCCCAGAGTCGGTGCTTGGCGCCCCCGCATCCGACTTTGTGCTGCCTTGGCTAATCCCTGAACATCCCTGGCTTACTGCTTCCCGAGTCCCAACGGCCTGGACAAGGGTGGTGTGCTAAATACGTCAGGATAATCCGCCAGATTATTTATTGTGTCCTGATTTTCCTCTCCAATCCATTGAGCGATTGTATCAATTCCTCGACCACTATCCTCTAATCGTGTGGACGACGATGGCTCTCTTTGCTCGCGCCGCGGCGCTGACAGCTGCTCTGGCCGCAACAGCCAATGCCCTCTACATCAACGGATCCGTCGTCGCGCCATGCGACTCGCCCATCTACTGCCATGGAGACCTCCTCAAGGAGATCGAATTGGCCCAGCCTTTCGCGGACTCAAAGACTTTTGTCGATATGTGAGTCGCCCCGACCCAGATCAATCCAGACATGCAATTGATGCTGACATCTTGCTGTGCAGGCCTGCTATCAAGCCATTGGAAGAAATCCAAGCTGCCTTTGACAAACTAGAGAAGCCGCTCAGCAACAACTCGGCGCTCAACGACTTCTTGGACGAGTTTTTCGCCGATGCGGGTGGGGAGCTGGTGGCTGTTCCCGAGGGTCAGCTCACGACTGATCCCGTCTTCCTCAACCGCATCAACGATACCGTCATACAGGAGTTTACCAAGAAAGTGATTGACATTTGGCCTGATCTGACTCGGCAGTACTCGCCATCCTCTAGCAGCAATTGCACCTCCTGCCCCAACAGTTTCATCCCGGTCAATCACACCTTTGTCGTCGCTGGCGGCCGCTTCCGTGAGCCCTACTATTGGGACTCGTACTGGGTGATTGAGGGTCTCCTGCGCACCGGAGGCTCCTTCACCGAGATCTCCAAGAACATCATCGAGAACTTTCTTGACTTTGTCGAGGACTACGGCTTCGTGCCCAATGCCGCCCGCATCTACTACCTCAACCGATCGCAGCCGCCGCTGCTCTCCCTCATGATCCAGACATACGTCGATTACACGAATGACACTGAGATTCTCGATCGTGCCCTGCCACTCTTGGTCAAGGAGCACGAGTTCTTCATGAACAACCGTACCGTGGACGTCCAGGTTGGGAACAAGACATACACGCTTAATCGCTACGCCGTGGAGAACACGCAGCCTCGCCCCGAGTCGTACCGGGAGGACTACATCACGGCCCGCAACAGCTCCTACTTCGCCGAGTCCGGCATCGTGTACCCAGAGACCGTGCCGCTCAACGACAGCCAGGTCGCCACCCTCTACTCCCACCTCGCCAGCGGCGCCGAGTCCGGCTGGGACTACAGCTCGCGCTGGATCGCCAACCCGGAGGACGGGGCGCGCGACGTCTACTTCCCCCTGCGCTCCCTCAACGTCCGCAACATCGTCCCCGTCGACCTCAACTCCATCATGTACGGCAACGAGGTCGCCATCTCCCGCTTCTACAACCAGACCGGCGACGACACCGCCTCGGAGACGTGGGCGGAGCTCGCCGCCAACCGCAGCGAGGCCATCCACGCCGTCATGTGGAACGAGACGTACGGCAGCTACTTCGACTACAACATCACCTCGTCCTCGCAGTACGTCTTCGTCCCCGCCGACAACGACACCGCCGCCCTCGAGAACTCCACCGCGCCCGCCGGCCAGCAGGTGTTGTTTAGTGTCTCCCAGCTCTACCCCTTCTGGACCGGCGCCGCCCCGTCGTACCTCAAGGACAACCCCCTCGCCGTCCGCGAGGCCTACTCCCGCGTGGGCGCCTACCTCGATGCCCGCGCCGGCGGCATCCCCGCCACCAACTTCCGCACCGGCCAGCAGTGGGACCAGCCGAGCGTCTGGCCCCCGCTGATGCACATCCTCATGCAGGGGCTGCGCAACACGCCCGCCACCTTTGGCGAGGACGACCCGGCGTACCAGGAGGTGCAGGACCTCGCGCTGCGCCTGGGCCAGCGGTACCTCGACTCGACCTTCTGCACGTGGCTCGCGACGGGCGGGTCGACGTCCGAGACGCCCAAGCTGCAGGGCCTCTCGGACCAGGACGTCGGCATCATGTTCGAGAAGTACGCCGACAACTCGACCAACCGCGCGGGCGGCGGGGGCGAGTACGAGGTCGTCGAGGGCTTCGGGTGGACCAACGGCGTGCTCATCTGGACGGTGGACGAGTTCGGGAACCAGCTGCAGAGGCCCGACTGCGGGGACCTGCAGGCGGCGCACACCACGCAGAAGAGGGATGTGCAGTCCGCGGTTGAGCTGCACGTGCGGGATGGGTCGAGGGTGAAGAAGTTTGGCAAGCGGGCGAAGAGGAGCGTGTGAGGGTGAAAAAAATGGGTTGGTGGTGATTGGTGATTGGCGTTGGGGAGGTTTTCTTTTTCTCTTTGTTCTTTCTTTCAACCCTTCTAGTATATTTATTTTAGTCTTCTCATGTGTTAATGTTAATGAGTATGGTTCATCAACTTTATTTGGTCTTGCGCTTGTGATTTAAAATAACCATGGTAGGAATCTCGGAGTCCTCGCATGCCACTCTTCCCACTTCCTCCCAAATGTATCCTTGAGCATGTCCTCCTCCTGCCTAACACGCGTCCTGATGCCGAGCAGACCAGCAGCGAGCACCACGGGCACAGAGATGAACCAGAGCCTTCTCGCGGTTGGATACAGGGACGGCGGGATCCAGCAGCACACGGCGCCATCGAACCGAACGAATAACGCGATTGTGGAAATCATGATGGCGAAAAGGCCGGTGTAGCTCGGGTGCTGCACGTATCTGTAGATGCCCGTCGTGGTGAGGCGATCCGGCTGCGCAAGGGCAAACGTGAAGTTGGTCCCCAGATATGAGTAGGACGTGAGGCGGAGAGGAACGCCAACAAGGAGGATGAGGCAGATGGGGACCGACGTTGACGCCGACCAGGTGATTAGCTCTTTGTTGAGCCCGTTCTCGCCGCCATAGCCGACGAGACGACGTGGGATATCCGGTGCGTAGAGGGCGAGTGCTGAGGCGTGAAGCGCGAGAAGGCCTACAGGTGCCAGGGCGATCTTGGTTGCATGCTTACTCGTGATCCCAACGCGCCGGAGCAGGTCTCCAGTTCGCGGAGTGGTGCTCGTGGATGGATTGGGAGGCGATAGGGCAACAAAGCTTCCAGTGATGGAGGCTATGATGGATACAGCAAAGGTGAGCTGCGAGAAGGAGCCTGGCGGTTCCATGATGTCGCTTGGTCTGGTCCGGACTAGAGTATCTAGCTGTCTCGTGCTGGAGTCTGTTTTCGTGATGCTGCTCCTCTGTAGCAGACTCTTGCTCCCACCTATTTGGAATTTATCGGGGAAGGTGCAATCTTTTAACCGCCGAACTGTCGTACAATTTAAAAGTCTTTCCGATTGATTAGATAATCCGAGACAGGACTAAACCTACACTGAACTAGAATGAGGCTGTACCCGTGTGACTTGTTATCCACCCATTTTACATCGGGATGGATGAGATATAAGACATTGACTACTATTGATTCTACTCACCACCCCGGTTTCAAAATCAAAGACACCAAGTGGTTCTCATGTATCTCTCACATAGTAACTCGAAATGAAGTTCTGGTGAGGTGAGGTGAGACTGCCTTGGCAAGCGTGTGAGGTGAGCAACGAGGGCGCTCTCAGGTTTTTTTCACTTTCGCTGCACCTTCCTTCACTGCATGTTAGATCTCGCCTTCATGTGCGCCAGATGATTCTGAGAATGAACTTCAACTCTCACTTCAACCACTGAGATTCACTCGTCTTACCCGCCTTTCTTTCAGCTCCCCGCCGGCCCGCACTTGTGCTGCATTGATCATGTCAACACGCCAAGAGCCCGAAGATTTCGATTTTATGAGTGCGCTGCTGCTCTTTGGGAAGTACAGTGACTTCAAACTGCGATGCCAGGATGTTGAGTTCCAGCTCCACAAGTCGGTCGTCTGTATGCAGAGTCCCATGTTCGCAGCTGCGCTCGACGGCAACTTTACAGTAAGATCATATCCCAGATCCCACCAGCTTTGTTTTCATCTTACTTATTTGTCTTTGATTAGGAAGCGGCCTCCAGTATCATCGTCGCGGAGCTATTCGATCTCGACACGATCAAACGGTTGATCCAGTTTTTCTACATCGGCGACTACGATGCCGAGAGACCTAGCGACACAAAGAAGATTATTCTGAAGCTCGAGTCAACTTGGGAGCAAAAGGTTACCCCCTCCGGAACGGAGATCTTGAGCGCCATGTCCGTCGCCGAGCAGCTCAGTGCTCACATCGACCTCAACATTGCGGCCGATTACTACCAGGTCCCCGATCTTCTCAAGATGACAAGAGATGAGGTGGAAAAATTGCTCCAGCATCACTGGAATGCGAGCGCCTTCCCGGAAATCTTCGATCGCGTATCAGCAGTTGTCGCTGACCCAAAGCTTCAATCAATCGTGACCGATGCCGCCGCTCGGCACTTGGACGAGCTCCTCGAATTGAAGGAGTTCCGAGATCTTGATTGCATCAGCGACATGACGATCAAGCTTCTTTCAAGCATTCTGGAGACAAACAAATCGGTCAAGACCCCCAAACTGAAAAGCCCAAAATCCAAATCAGCGCTCAAGAGAAAGTCGACTTTCCAATGGTAAGAGCGAGGTACTGCAACGATATCTCACATCCTGGCTGATTCAGGCTCAGCTTCAGATCGGTTTCTACTGTTATTGCGGACAGGGAAAATTAGCAGGCTATGGACTACTTACGAACTAAATTTGGCTTTGTACGAAGGGAAATTGGCGACGTTGGACTTTCTGTCACATTACACACGACCTTCTTTCTAGATGACTGCTTGATGGTTTTCTTCTGACGTTGTTAAGATACAAAACTGGATGAATGAGAGCTGTTTTTGATGGAATAGGAATTGCTTTACACACCCGGAACAGAGTCGGGGCTTTTACGACGTTGCCTCGCGCTCTTACCCTTTAGCTTAAACATGACAATTCACCGCTATTATTTCTCATTATTGTCAAGGGAGTGTATTGCTTCTGCTGCTTTGAAATTTGATTTATGGTTGATAGAACTTGTAATTGCAAGCACTTGCGTTCCTCTGGCCGGTATGATCGGCGTTCCATGCATGTGTTGAACTCACTCGATCTCGCATCGCTGCCTAACAGTACATCAATGGCCTACTTAGTGACTCTTTACTCTCCCACGTTGATTTCTTGGGTCCAGTATCCTGTGCTTAATTCTCAATGGGACTGAGATCGTTGACGATGAGCGCTCATTTTATATCGCTTGTCGCCATGAATCTGCATTGCGGACTTCTTGGCGACGTCATTGCTGGGGAATATCCATTCATGGGATTACCGATGAGGCTATGACCGAGTCAAGGGCAGACCAGCCCGGGGAGACAGGGTTATTTGCAGGGTCTAGGCTTGGCCTCACCTGGGTAGACGGCATTCGGGTGGATGAAGTAGCCGGCGGTGGAATGAATGTTTTATCTCCGCGATGACTGATCTTTGATCGCATCCGCTACTATCTTGTTCCTTTCCTTCTGTTCCTCTTCCTCTTCCTCTCTTTGTAGAAATATATCGTATTTTTCAGAAGGAGAGCCAACATGTCTGTGCAGGAAGATCCCTATTCCTCGGTGGAGGCCATCCGAGAACTGGCAAACACTGAGTAAGTTGAGAGGTCTGTGCCGGGCTCGTTCTCATACTAATCCAGGCTTGTAGCCCTGATCTGGCGAAAGTATGTCTCTAAATACGAAATACCAGCCATCGCTACTATTTTTCTGACGATCCTAGATTCTCAAGGATGACTCGACAGATACTATGGCATCTACGCCGTTTGAGGCGATGGTACAGATGTTTCGCGAACATCCCTCGCCCCCCGGCCAGCAGCTTAGAACCGAGTGGTCTCGCTACGTTAAGATGCGTGATGGGCACAGTCACGAAATCCGCGTATACAAGCCGAATGATTTAGCAGAGGGCCCGTTGGTAGTCCTCCTACACGGAGGTGGGTTTTGTATTGGGCACTACTCACACCTCGGCTCTTATTCTAGGGCTATTGCATCTCTGTATGGTGTAACTGTCGTGAACATCAGCTACCGCCTCGCTCCAGAGTTCAAGTTCCCGACGGCGCCTCATGATGTGTGGGACTCCATCACGTGGTTGGTGAAGCCAGAGAATGCAAAAGAACTTGGCATAGATCTTAGCAAGGGTTTTATTGTGGGTGGGATGTCGGCTGGAGCAAACCTGTCGGCGGTATTCGCCCAGCAATGGGTATCCATGGCCCAGTCGCCCCCAATCAGTGGGCTATGGCTGAACATTCCGCTTATTTTTGTTCATGAAATCGTCCCCGATGATCAAAGAGAGCTATGGGTGGCTAGAGAACAAAACGCCTCGGCCATGGTCATCAACAAGGAATCAATGGAATTTATCCGCAGCGCATACAACCCAGACATTACCTCACCCGACTTTTCTCCCTTTAACCATCCGGGAGCACACACAGGGCTCCCACCAACCCACATCCAGGTTTGCGGCCAAGACCCGTTGAGGGACGATGGCTTGATCTACGAGAGGATCTTGCGGAAACATGGAGTGAGAACCAAGCTGGATGTATACCCGGGTATTCCCCATGCAGGAGCTTTCTTCTTTCCAACACTTCCCATCGCGGTCAAACACAACATGGATGTCTTGAAGGGATTCGGGTGGTTGTTGGGGAAGGATGCCAGCGAGAAGCAGTACCAGCTGGCATTGGAGACAATGACAATGCCTGCGTAGAGTATTGTTACTCTTGCTTCACTGTACGGGCAGTGTCTGAGATGTAATCATTCGTGTAACATGATCAAAATACTATATCAATGCCAGTTGTTTTTGAGAAAACGTCTGTTTGAAGTGAAAGATGCCGCGCATCAGTGCCTTGATCCCGATGCTAGCAGGAACCTCACGACCAACTCCCTCACCACACTACGGCTGCAATCAAGGTTTCCTCTGTTTGTACAGCTTTCCCCAATGATGCTCGGTCTGTGGTCTGATACTGGGTTATAGCAATGCTGTGGCTGATCCCATCTTATTGACACCAATTTAAGCCGCGATTTCGGCATGAAAGTGGCCAGGAGATTCTCGAAATGCGATATTAATCCTGTCTTCGTCGTACCAAGGGTCAAAAGCTCCCAATTCTGATAGGGTAACATGGTAATCGTTAAGCGGCTGCATTGTGTGGTCGGCTGCACTTGCTGTCTGGTCTGCCAACAATTATCAGACTGTGGATCAGATAATGGGAAATAAGTGAACTTTAATAGATAAGGTATCTCTGCCACATTTATATGAAATGGACAGGGTCTGGGGAAGGTTTATGGTGATATCTCCAGCGGAGCGGACAGCCGAGATACCCATGACAGAGGATCGGGAACAAATTCCGAACCACACCAACATACCCTCCTACGCTAAAATCAATCTCCCTGGTTCATGATAACCGAAGCCTAGAAAAAAGAGCGGCTAGATCTCACATGAGCTGCCTCATGGGGTGCTGGTGTCATATCTGCAACACCGATTCTTATACAGATAATGATGGGCAAGGAAATTGATAGTCGGGGAGACCTGCCTGGCTTGATGGAAATGGTGCATGATAGGTATCACGTCTGGTTTCAAGATACTGGCTCCTCCAACAAAATCGGAAATTTAGACATGATGCTGTAGATCCTTGAGATACAGTATTTACACGGCTTGGCTGCTTAAGAGTCTTTTTCAAATAAGAGCTACATTCTTGGGGGTAACGAGCAACAGGGCGTCTATTCTATTGACTGAGCTTGCCTCGTTCAACAGAGTCCAAACTCAAAGATGTATGTTTCATTTTCATATACCGCCAAGGGGCTTTTAGCAATAAATCATGACCCCCGCTTAGTATAGACTTAGCCACGAGACAAGTCAGTAATTGTCCACATGTATCAGCTCTCAGCGATGTGCCTCTGCTTTCATACCCCGGGAATGTCGTCTGCTGGTGGAGAGCCAACCACGGGTTCTATCCACTATCCACTGCCCCAACGGAGCTCGTAAAGAGTCATGTCAGTGGCTGACGTAGTGATAAGGAGCACTAGTTCCGCCCCTAGAACATGGATTGTCTCCAAAAAGATACGCATTGAGATTAGAGAAACGTGGAGGTGGAGGTAGACACATTGCGCTTGTTTCTCAGCCTATCGTGAGGCTCGGTTACAGTTTCCGAGCTTCCCAAACGTAACCAAATCTTTACCCCAGACTGATCATGGATCATGACATATTCCCTGTATGCTCCATTGTGGGACATTTTAAATACACTCATCTCCCCCTCTTCTCGGGACTTGAAGGAGACAGAATCAAAGAGTCCCTGTTCCTACCGAGGCTCTTCGATTGACTTCCAAGGCAGTTACGCACCCAACAATCACAATGGCGCACCAAAATCCAAACTCAGACATCAACATGCCTGAACCTTCGGCACCAGCTATAGACGAAAAGAAGGGACTTTCTCGTGTAGCTTCTCACGGCTCTGAGAAAATTGGGCAAATCACACGGACTGAGGAGTCCTCGGGGGCTCTTCACCGAACCTTGACACCGCGGCAAATTCATGCATGCAAAAACCTAGACATCTAAATTTTGGTGGCCGAAAACTAATGCTTCTGCATAGATTATCGGTTTGGGCTCTAGTGTGGGCAGCGGCTTGTTCATTGCTACTGGAAAGGCTCTCGCAGCAGGCGGGCCTGGTACCATGTTTATCGCCTACCTTATCGTGTGTACTGGTGTATGGGCCAACCTGCAGTCACTTGGAGAAATGACAATCGCTTTCCCTGTGTCCGGAAACTTCATCGACTATGCTGGTAGATTCGTCGATCCTGCATTGGCTTTTGGTGCAGGCTTTGCGGAGTGGCTCGGTTAGCACACCCCCAGGACGGTTCAGTAGCTATCCTGCTAATATTGCTTAGGTTGGACTTCTGTCTTTGCTGCAGAAGCCGTTTTCTTCGTCGTGCTGGTCGACTATTGGGCGAAGGGGGTCGTACCGCAAGCAGCACTTCGTCGGTTACCCTTGGGTGTCATTCCAACTTGAGTACCACATGCTGACGAGCTTTCTCCTAGTGTCTATCTTCAACGTGATCTGTCTCATTGTCTTCTTCATGCCGAATAAAATCTTTGGGTGGCTCCAAGCCTTCGGATCAATGGTCAAAATAGTGCTATTCTTTTTCATCATCGGCCTTTCGATCGCGTTGATTGCCGGCGCTGGGCCGACTGGTCAGAAGCTTGATGGAAGTTCCTGGAGAGATGGAAAAGGCTTTCAAAACGGCTTTACTGTGAGCCTTCTTGGAATTGAACATATACCAGTGGAGATAGACTAACTGATGATCGCAGGGCTTCGCCAACTGCGCAATGATGGCCATCTGGGCTGTGGGAGACCAGGTGTTCATCGGAGTCATGGCTGGAGAAGCCAGTATGCCTCGCGTTTCCATGGCACATTCCTCTACCTTCGTCCCTATCCGTGTCGCCGTCATGTATCTCGTATGCGTCGTTTTCATCGGCATCATAGTTCCTTCCGATGACCCAAACCTGCTTGGAGGATCCGGCGCAGCAGCTTCTCCCTTCGTCATCGCCGCTCAGAACGCAGGTTTGAAAGGCATCCCCGACCTCGTTAATACGTGCATCATCATTGGTATTGTCGCCATTGCCTTGGAGAGCATCTATCTCCCTTCCCGGGTCTTGCGCACTATGTCTCTGCAAGGTTTGCTCCCCGCAAGAATTGCGAATGTCGATGATCTCGGCCGCCCCCGCTGGGCATTGAGCATCACGTCAGTGGTCGGTGTATTCTTCGCCTATTTAAGTCTTAACAGTATGTTTATCATCTACTCTCAATGTGCAGGCACTCCAGACTCATACGTTTGTTTCTTTAGAGGGTGGTAACGAGGCACTCAATTGGTTTATTGCGATTACCAGCGCCTCCTTTTTCAGCAACTGGGCAATCATTGGTTACTCGAACATTCGATTCCGCCAGGCATTGAAGGCACAAAATGACCATTTACTGGACGAAGAGTATGCGTGGAAAGCTAATATGGGCATCTTCACCCCTATTTACCTCATCATCGTTTGCACGCTGCTTCTGGTTTGCCTTCTCTACCTGGCAATTAGCCCTTCGGTATTTGTTTCTCTGCCCTTCATATTCTTCCAGTCACGCTAATTGGTAATTCTGCAGAGTGGTTCCTTTACTGCATCAAACTTCTTCCAGTACACTATTGGCCTCTTGCTCATCATCGTGTTCAGCCTCGCCTTTAAAGTCATTCGCCGCACGAAGTGGGTCGACCCTGCTACAGCCGACCTGACCACTGGCCGCAACATCCTACGAGTCAACGAGATTCATTATCTCGACGGATACGCGAAGCTCCCGACTTGGAGACGACTTTTGCTTTCTTTGGGCCTTAGCCCTGCTGGTGGGCCAAAGAGTGAATGAACCTCGCCAGAGAATGTTATGAGATTCTCAGCCAACTAGCTTGCCGTTGCATGTCTTGGTGATGAGTTGTTTAGTGTTCGTCGTGTGATACTGGAAGAGGGCAGGATGCTTTATAACCGCCCTGCCAGGGACGAATAGTTGATGGTGAACGTATCAGTCCGGGCATGTGTGACTTCAGCAACTCTCCAGTTGCCTGGAAACTTTGTGATCAATATACTGAATAAGACTATATGCGAATCGTCCGGTATGCCTATTAGAGATACGTTCTTGTTTTCGGCCTACGGATCGGCTCTGCCATTTGGTGATGATTACGAGCGCGCTCTAATCTTGCGTGATTTTGTGGACAAACCATCATATAGGGTCGCCTTATCCAAGGCCCTGCAACTGCTTGTTCATAGCAGACTCAAAAACATCGGCACGGTTTTTAACATGTAAACTTTACCTCAAACAGATCATCGTGATGAGCATTAATACTCTCTCATGTGAAGAGATACCTTTACACTTCATTGTCACTATCAAACGAACTTGAGCGGCTTGCCCCAAATTTCTCACAAATTCTACTGTAGAAACGACCGGAACAATTTCAATTCCAGTCTCATTTTGAGGATTTTACCCGTCCTCACCCAAATATCACGCGTCTGCATTTACAAACCTTCTCTCCGCTGCCCGGCTTGTGTCACGCAATTTCTCCTGCCGCTTTCTTCCTAGCCTTTCTTCCTTCTTCCTCTCATGCAACTCGTTCCTCAGATCCTCTGTCTCCTTCTGGTCAACCTCGGAAGCCTTCTCCTTCTCCTCTCTTTGCATCCTGCGCTCTTCGCCTCTCTTTCGGCGCTCCTCTTTTTCTGCTTCCACTTGTCCCTTGTTCTTGAAGAAATCCCCTTTTGGGCAGCAATACAAGACGACAGACACGATCTGATGACCCCGAGCAAAGTAGCACGGAAACGCGGCGTTTCCTCCGGTGCTGCTTCTTTGAGACATCCAGTTGATGTGATAGACCATCACGCCCGTGGGCTGAATAGGCTTACCATGTTCAAGAGAATAGACCCTTGGGGGTGAATCGCCGTAGAGGTATGTGCCCACAGCCTTGATGAAATCGCCCTTGGTTACACCATCTGGGCGAAATATTTTGATATTTTGAGGAGCAGAGGGCAGATCGCAAGGGCAGCAGTTCGGATGCTGATCGAAAACATCAACATCGAATCCCTTGACAGGCGGTTCGGTGACGTATTCAGGGATGTTTTTATCCGCGACAACAGAGGCATGGAGCTCCGAGAAGACGCGCTGCCAGTAGGACTGGAAGACGTTGGGAGATGACGCGTCAAAATACGGGCTCTCGTCCCACGCGTCCTTGGTTGTTTTCAGAATGAGGTCAGTTAAAGGCTCCCATTGCTCGGTTATGTCGATATGCTGGTCAGCATCCGTGTCGTCATTTGCGGCGACTGTCGAGAAGTCGCCATCGACAAGCTGGCCCTCGAATTGAATGGTAGGGTACTCTTCCCAGTCCATTGCTGGCAAGCTGCCTCCAGAAACCGAGGATAGTGGTGAGATATGAACGACCAGAAGAGGGGGAATACACCAAAAGTACATGTACTGTCAGCAAAGCGGTGGATCCAGCCACTTCAGGGAGCTCAAGCAATATCGCCATTTAAGACAAGCTACCCTATAGCATCTTCCCCATTCTCTATCGTGCTGCTCCAGAGGACTTAATAATGAATCAGTCCATGATACGTTTCTACTTCACCCCACGCAAGTGAAATGTTGCAGCCTTAGAACAAAGAGAGGATAGAGTTCTACACAACCATGGGAACACTGCCATGATAATCTCTATGCCAAGCAAGGTATCAACAACAATACTCACTCAAGAAAGAATTTTACGATAACTAGAATTTGGACCTAACCTAAGGGCATACGACATCAAACATTCAACTGCTACGATCACGGGTTCTAGGTTTTCTAGCCACCCGAATAAAAATTGAAAAGGAAACCATGGAGGCATAATACAAAACCTGCCAATGCAGCTACTGAATTTTGGCCAAGTTATCATTAGCCTTCTATGTTTTTATTTCTCCTCTTACTTCTGGAGGACGAGCGAAGAAAACCTTTAGCTTATTATCTACTATAAAAGGCGGCCACGCTGGAAGAATTATGATGGAGGATATTTTCTGTCTTGTAACATTGACCAGGACTGAGTTCGTTTGCAATTTTTTGTGAGATTATAATACCAGAAGCCGAAACTTGTACTATGGTAGACCTTGGCTTGATAAATAAGGTGTGGCTGATGCGTGGGTTGGGTGTCATTCTATCATTGTTCTTCCTGTCTCAGCCTTCATCGTCTAATCGCTTTCCAATTTGACAAAGAGATCGTAGGAAACCAATCAGTTGACCGGAAGAGGTCTAGTAAGGGCAAAGAGGTTAGTTAAGATGGGACCCTTAGGGTAGAGATGGGTTGGGATTTTGCGACTGGCAAATCAATCTTCAGCTGATGCCGTCGAACAACCGAATCTCGGACAGCTAGTTCCGAAATGGCTGGAATAGGGGCATCTTAGCGCCGACTTCCTGGTTCTAAGCACCAAACTCATCGGCGCCATCGGGCATTTTAGAGCAATCTGCCCGATGGGCGGGGCTTATCGGAGTGGGCTCACGAGTCACGATGCAACCCATCCCAGACTCACCCCGTTCGTGGGCCCTGGCTAGAATCCTGTGGAGGCGCGATGGGAGATGGAGACATATCATCGGAATCTAGATGGGTGCCAAGCTTGGTCAGACATTGGTGCCCCTCTCGCTCTTCTCGGGGTATATATATACATTATCAACCACGGAATCGACACCAAAGCTATTTTGCTATCGCCACTAAGCCTCTGAAGGAGTTCATCGCCTATTGAGCTCGCCTATGCTTTGATTCAGTCTAACCTAGCAATCTTAGTATATATTGGTCCCGTCTTGTTCCATTACTTTTCCAAGCGTGGGAAAACATGCATTCGCTGGACCCCCTTACTCCGGCTGAGATCAGGCTGGTCGCATCCCTGATCAAGAAAGCGAACGCGGATAACACTGTTCACTTTAAGAACATTGATCTGATCGAGCCCCCCAAAAAAGCTCTCCGGAAATATTTAGTTGCGGAGAGAAATGGCTCAGTTCCGCTCCCTGCCTTGCCTCGACATGCCTCGGCTCTTTACTACCATCGCGGAACGCCAAACTTATTTGTTGCAACTGTGGACCTTGACGGCTCCCGAGTCGCCAGAATCAAGAAGCTTGAATCCCGCTATTACGGACAAGCTGACATGGACGAGGTCGTCGAGGTGAGGGATGCATGTCTGAGGCATCCCAAGGTGGTTGATCGGATCAAAAGCTACGGACTACCCGACAACATGATGGTGGTTTGCGATACTTGGCCCTATGGGCGCGATTCTGACCAGTTGAATCGGAGAATTGCTCAGGTGACTATACTTTCACAGAAAGAAACGAGAATGAGGCAGTTTGGCTGACGTTATTATCTTCCGTGGTAGTGCTATCTTTACGCAAAGGATCGGTCTCACCCTGGCTATAACTCTTACGATAACCCCCTACCCTTTTCACCAGTTATTGACTACCTCACCAAAGAACTCATCGACATAATTGAACTCCCCCTAGACTTAGACCATTCCGTCACTCCAGAAGTGAAGCATATCCCTCGCGTCAACAAAGAATGGCACCATGACCTAAACTCCCTGCCTAAGCGGGCTGACTTGAAGCCCCTCACTGTCCACCAGCCATTGGGTGCGTCATTCACAGTGGATGAACACCTTGTGCAGTGGCAGAAGTGGCGGTTCAGGGTTGGATTCAACTGGCGAGAAGGCATGGTCATTCACGACGTCACATATGACGGACGGGAGCTGTTCCATAGACTCAGTCTGAGTGAGATGTTTGTCCCTTACGGGGACCCCAGAACACCTTACTCACGAAAGAGTGTTTTCGACGTCGGAGATATTGGAGCTGGAGTTGCAGCGAACAATTTGGCACTCGGATGCGATTGTTTAGGATTGATCAAGGTGAGTTCGATCTGCAAATATGAGGAGACAAGCGGATTGTTAACTGATGAATGACAAACAACAGTATTTCTCCTTCACCCTCAGCGACTCTAATGGAAACCCAGTACCCAAGCCAAACGCAATCTGCATGCACGAGATTGACGATGGAATCGGCTGGAAGCATACTGACGGCGCCACAAAGGAAGTGTCGATTGTGCGATCGCGAGTCCTCGTTCTCCAGACCATCATCACTGTCGGCAACTATGAGTACATTTTTAAGTGGCATTTTGACCAAGCGGCTGGCCTTCACTACATCATTCAGGCAACGGGAATTCTCTCCACCGTCCCCATCGCGCCTGGTGTCAAGGTTCCATGGGGAACAAACGTCAATCACGGCGTCATGGCTCCTTATCATCAGCACGTTTTCTCTCTGCGTATCGACCCCACATTAGACGGAGACAAGAACAGTTTCATCGAGGAAGATTCAGTAGCCATGCCCTTCGATGAAGAGAACCCATGCGGCGTGGGTTATATCACTAAGACCAACGTCGTCTCCACATCGGGAACTTCGCAGGCCGTCAATAGCCGCGTACACAAGATTGTCAACCCTTCGGTCATCAACAGGATCTCCGGTAAGCCGGTGGCATACGCCATCCACAGCCCCCAGAAGCAGATGCTCCTCGCCCACCCCGATTCATGGCATGGTAAGCGGGCCAAGTTCGCCCTTCACCCCTACTGGGTCACAGCCTACCGCGATGGAGAACTCTATGCCGCGGGTGATTACACCTATCAGTCGCTCCCAGACGAGGTGGCTATGGAAGATGACGGTGTGAAGAAGGGAGATGTTGCCGCTTGGGCGGAGCGGGGCGACAAGGTGGACAACGAGGATATTGTGCTGTGGCACTCGGTCAGCTTGACGCATAACCCTCGGCCTGAAGACTATCCCGTCATGCCTTGCGAGACCATGATGGTCAGCTTGAAGCCTAGCGGTTTCTTTGAGCAGAATCCTGCCTTGGATGTCCCGCAGAGTACTCAGAGGATGAACAAGAGCGTTCTATTTGAGGAGAAGGAGGCTCCGGCACCTGGGAGTAGGAGCGGGGCTTGCTGTGGCAGCTCCAAGCTATAAATAACCAAATTAAAAGAAGATATAATACGATGGTTTTTATAAAATGTTTGCTGTAATTTTTGCGTTTGAGTGAAAATTTGCTAGAATAGTTGTTCTTAGGTACGTATGGATCAAGAATCGTGAGGTCATCCCTACAATACATGATCCAGAAAGGTTTCTGGTCAAAGTCTACCAACAAACTATTTACTTGCTAGAATAATCCCGAGCCGTATGAAGTTTAATGACGAAATTACGCGGCTATAGGGCATAGCGAAATACTCCTCGTCCTGATAATGGCATGTCTCGCTGAATAGGGAGCAAGATTTAATGATAAGTGAGCTTGGTGAAGATTTTCATTGAGTTTATTAAGCTTGGTCCAGCTACAAGCTAAAATATATCCTATTTGAAAAGTCCAGATCTGGTGCTGGGTCAAAGCCCTCCCCCAACCCGCCCTGAAGGTCTGCCACCCACTGGCGATGCATCTCCTCTGTCATGGGAGGCGTGACGCCTTCCAAGGAATTCATAATATCGACAGTCACAGAATTGTCATGTTCAGACTCTGATGGAATCTCAAAATCAGCCACCAAAGGCTCCGTCGCCATCTCCCGAACCATCCTCAGCGTGGGTTGGTGGATAACTACTTTGCTTAAGCCCGCCCAGTGTTCCTCGATCCCATTCCTGGCAGCTGCGCTGATCATGGCCGGCCTCTCCCATGTCAATCCGATCGGTATTTCACCCGCTAAGAGCTCAAAGGTGTCTCGAATGCATTCGGCCTCGGCCCAACGTTCTGCGAGGATGGCCAAGGTGCTGGAGCAGGCCCGGATAGCGTCAGAGACGTCGGGTGACGTGTACGAGTCCTTCCACCGTGAGGGCGGGGTCGCAAAGAAGCAGTAGAGTAAGGTGACTCCGATTTGAAATTGCGTAAGAAGCTAGATATGATGGAAATCCACGGTCAGGCGATTGGACACAAACTAAAACGGGATAAATGCAAATCGAAATGAGGAACCCTTACCCCTAACCATGGCTGGGCAATCTCCCTTGCCATCTGGAACCTCCGGAATAGAACCAACGAATGACAACAAGCCTGCACGGACCAATCACCCGAGATTCCGTGCGCTGTTCGTCTGGTCGGTCGGAAAAGCATGACGATGTTGTAGTAATAAATCATCGTGAGCCATCCGGGACTCACATAGCCCCGTTGGGTGGGCTTGCACGACAGCTCCAACCCTTTGTTCCACTCTTTGAGCTTTTCCATAAGTTTGATGCGCCACGTGAAGGTCACATCAGAGTGTGGCACATAAGCCTTGTCGAGTACTGTGTTCTGGATTTCTGACTCGAGCTGACGGCCGACCAGGACGTGGAGAGCTGTCGACAGATTGGTGTGGCCAGAGTATCCGCGCAGGGGAGTACCTGGTTGTGTAGAAGAGGCTACCTCGAGGAGTAGATCGTCGTCGATATTCTCGAAGATCTTGCGCCATGCAATCTATTTAGTGAACATGATAGTTTGGCAAAGAATCTAGTACTTACATCGACTGTTATGTGATTGTCTGGAATAGATGTCGGAAAATCAAACGAGCTGCAAACTGCTCGATCAATCGCGTAGGCGCACCAGAAAATCTTCCGGCGATGCTGGATCTGCAACAAGGCGTCGGTATCGGTAGGCTGAGGCTCGGTTTCTGCCAGGTGTAGTTGCGCCATGATGCAGAATCTCATGGTCCAGGACGAAAGGAAAATGATGTTTTCTTGAAATGGCATGTGGAGGGCGTAGATGGTTAATAGGAGGAGGCCTTGTGCTCGAATGACGGGGTCGGGTGCCGAAACTAGATAAGGAAGATATTTTGAGGTTGCCAGAGAGTACAGCGCCTGAGGGGGTATAAGAAAGGTCAGAATACCATTCGTATGCCGATGTCAATTCCAATCTGGCCAGACTAACCTCAGCTCTTTCTCTCCCATTAACTCGAGCCTTTGTCATAAGAAAGGCGATGGCATAAACCTAAGAGGACGATATGACAGAACTTAGCGATTAATTGGCCGGGTGAAGAGACACAGCCATTCAAATCAACCCACCATGTACACGATAAAGGTCTTCCACCTCATTTCCAGAGGCAGGGAAGTCCTATCATTTCTCCAGTGATCGATCCACTCTAGAAATTGATGTTTGAGAAGAAAGGGGTACTGAGAATGGGCCATCTCGAAGTAGGTTTGGATGAGAAACTGTTCCGTCTGGGTGTCTAAATCCACGACTTCAGGCCATACGGAGGCATCTAGACTGGAAGCTTGATGAGAAGTCCCTGATAGGGCTGCAAACAGTGTGGTTCCAGCATGGTCGGGTGGGGTTGGCACCAAGGGTAATACTGGGCCTGAGGTAGTTATGGCTTCATTATGGAGAGTGGTGGTAGACTCGATATGGTTTGGAAATGCGTTATCTGGGCGCAGTCGTGGACCAGAGGGCTGGGTGGGTAAGAAACGGTAAGTGAACGCATGAAAAGTGTGTGTGAGAGTGTGTGGATAGATATTCAACATGGTACGGCTCTGAAAAATGGAGTTGTCGTACCTGTACATCTCTTGTTGGTGATGGTAATGACGGTTGGCTTTTGGACCGAGAGTTTGTACCGTCTATGTGATCTAGGCTTTCCTGAGGTATGAGCCGCTCCAGCTGTGCTATCCGCTCCTCTAGTCGATGCACATATCTAAGAGACAACAGGCAGCCACCATTAGTACAACGCTTGGAGCCACTGAAGGTGGTTAGACGAACTCGGATTCCAAAGGTGGTTTCGAAATGTTTGACCTGGCGGGGACACATTCTACAAAGGGGTTAATCTCGCTTAGTTGTTGTATATGACTGGCAGAACGATTGGGCCGGGGTCTAGTTTACCAGCACCGGAGTGAATACAGTTTTCACAGGGCCGCACTTCGGTACACTTTGCAACAAGAAACAGAGAAATGGTCAGATCTAGAGCGAACAGGCATACTGAGGGAGTTCTCTGCTGGGATGGAAGAGGGGCAACACGCGGCATTCACCTTCTGCTTTCGATGCCGGCAGCGGGCACAGGCCAAAGGTTTCGGTCTCCTAGCTGAGGGACCCCCCGATGGCTCAGGTGGATCCTGTTCAACTGGTCGCGACATTCTGCGCTTCTGTCACTTCCTCCTCACTCGGATAGCCAGGCTGTGGTGCGTGGAGGTCGTTCAGTCTCCAGATTGGCGATTTGGTTAATGACTGATATCACTCGGCGACAGGGTAGTCCACTGGTCGGACATTGCTGGCCCCGGACTTGGACAGAAAAGTCTGTTCTGTGTTATTTCGTGTGTGTCGGAGTCTTGCTCCGAAATATGGTGTTGGTCGTGTGGGTCGTCTGGCGTCTTTCGGACTTTATCGGCATAAATCTATCTCCTATCTTAAGTTGTTAAGCTATTGCTAGGAAAACTGGGTAACTCTCCCCTCCCTGAAGCCTGAAGGTAGCTTGTCATTGCTAGCATATTGACAGCGAAAGGCTCAGATATATTGGCGGATAGAACCGACAGGATACGCGTTATCGACAAGGATTCCTTTGATCGTTATCTCTTCACAACCCTTCCCAACCAATCTAATAATATGGCGATTGAGAATACGCTTAATATCGCAGTCCTCAACTGCGGCTACACATGCCAGAGCATCCAAGAAGCCCGAGGGCAGTACCATGATCTGTTTGGTGCGATATTGCAGCCAGCGGCAGAGCGAGCAAACCGGAAGGCAAATGGTAGCCAACGAGTGAAGCTCGAAATCACGGGATGGGATACCGTTAACCAAGTGTACCCACCATCCCTAGAAGGTATCGATGCCATTATCATATCTGGTTCAGCGAACAGCGCCTATGAAGAACTGGAATGGATACAAACATTGAATCGCTTTGTTGCAGGTATGCTTCTCATGCCGATGTGCGATGGAAGCCAGGACTAAATTTCTTCTAGACGTGTATCACAACTATCCTACCATTAAAATATACGGCTCCTGTTTCGGTCACCAGGTTGTGTGCCACGCGCTCTTCACCAGCGAAGGCGCTCTTGTGACGAAGGATCCGGCTGGCTGGGAGCTGGGAGTGCATAGCGTCCGACTCACGGACTATTTCGTGTCCAGGTTCCCGAATCTGCTTCATGACAACAATCTGTTGCTCCAATACTTACATGCGGATTCCGTCTTCTTTGGAGCACAGCTGCCAGAGGATGTCCATGTCATTGGCACCACTCCCCAATGCAAGAACCAGGGCATATACCAACATGGGAGGCTCTTAACATTACAAGGGCATCCTGAATTTGACCAGTTCATCGAAGAAGAGTGCTTGAAGTTGGTAGGAAAGCGTGTGGGGTGGCAGGAAACCTTTCTGGAGGATGCACTTGTAGCCGCACGAATCGAAGATGATGGCCCGACAGCTGCCGATATCATTGTTCAGTTCTTTGTAGAAGGATAGCCTTTAATATCTGATGATGAAGCGTCGAAAGTGGGCAAGCAGAACAGCTTCTATCCAGTCAATGGCGCGGGCGATATGTGATGATATACTAAGATGTAATCAAAGATACCGAGATCTAATAACATCATTTAGAAATAAGAATATCTCTTCAGTTTCCAACATCACCATCACCATAAACTCAAGCAGTATTCTTCTCATAGCTTAGAAGAACACCTCTCAATCGCATGATGCCTTCCTTGATAGCCTCCTCTTCATGAAATGACCAGCACAATCTGATGGAATTGCCAAAGCTGGCTTTCGATCGCTCCTTGCTGCCTCCGTCTCCCTTGACCTCGAACATTTTCCCATACGCAATCTTCAACTCCTCATTTTCCAAAGCTGCCTTGGCAAGACCAGGAACATCTTGGTATACGCTGGGCAAAGCAATAGATAAGAAGAATCCGCCGGCAACCTGGACCTTCGCTTCCGAACAGCCACCGTTATTTGCTTTAAAGTGACTGTAATAAGGCTGCCCCGTTATGATTTTAACACCGAGAGGTTCCAGATATTCCTCGATGGCCTTTACCATAACGTAGTAGCGAGAGGAGTAAGCTGGTATCAGATTCTTCTCGATGTGGGTTTGGAGTGCCCCTGAGGACAACATGTTTTCGATAAACGTTGAACTGAGGTGGCCCGGGTTTCCTCCAGATATGGAAGCGCCGCTTGAGAAAGAACCATGCTTATTAGTCTTCGGTTTGACACATTGGAACATCCGAGACTGAACTTACGTAGTCGCAAGAAAATTTACAAATGCCGGGGTGCCCATTGCCCACGATACTCGCGCTCCTGGAGCAATGATTTTGGAAAACGAGCCATTACTCATGGTATTGCCCCATTTGCTGCCAGGGTCAAGCTCTCGGTTGATATCCACCAGTGTAGGGGGAATCTCTAGCTTTGCACCTTCAACATAGTTCTTCGGTTCGTGCGGCCAGCTTAGAAAGTCGTACACGTCGTCCGAGATGATAAGTGCATCGTACTTTATAGCAAGTCGGACGAGGTCGTATCTATGTGCGAGGGACATCGTTTTACCGCTAGGATTGGAGAATGTCGGCACAACATAGATGATGTGCTTATATATCTTCTCATATCCATTGGCGGTTGTTTTGAGCCGCCCTTGCTCACCCTTACCGGCATATTCAGTCTCGGTTTCAGCCAATGCCTTTGCGAGAAAGTCCAGATCGATGCCTTCATCATCTTCCGGCACACCTCTCAGCTTGCCGATAAAGCCGCAGTCCTCGAACACCGGACAGGCCAAAAAGTAGGTTGGTTCCACCATCCAAATCCGCCTGGTGTACGAGGGGTCGGCGAACCGGAGGAGGACATTGGAAAGATTCTGCGATGCGCCTCCCGCAATGCACACGCGACTCTCTTCAATCGCCTCGGGATCGTTGTGGTACATGGAACCGAGAAATTTGGCCATTTGGCTGCGAAGCGGAACATGGCCACGACTGGGACCGTAGACCAGAGCGGAACTGGCGGTATCGAAGCTACTTAAAACAGAAGTTGCAGCTGCGTTGAGGGCCTCGCTTGGGAAAAGGGAGGGAGAAGGCCATCCTAATTGGAGGTTGATTTGCTTCCCGGTGGGAAGAAGGGAGGTCATTTCTTCTATGATGTAGAATTAATGATGGAAGACGTATGTTATTGCAAGCAGCCCGTCAACAGTTGAAATTCATGACAGCAGCGGCATGTGAATGTGAAGAGGATGGCTCTTAAGTGACTGGGTCTCTGCCAAGCAGTCATGCCAACGTCAAAAGTCCGTTCCCCAGGCCCCAATCATTTTCAGTGGGCTCCTAACGCTGTCTGAGCGAGATCAATCCGAGATCTTCGGGTATCCCTCCCCTCGTCGAGTCGGGCGCGCATGACTTGAAATCGGACCCTAGCGTCCGATGATGTCGCACTGGGATCGGACCCGGACTGCGCCGTTTCATGTTGAGTGCTCACTGTATATTACCTTGAAGTGTAGGAAATATCCAAGATTGAATAGCTAGCTAGACAAATCTCGTCGACTTGTTGTACTTCTAGACGTAAAGCTACATGTACTCTCTCCGCCATGGCCCAGTCACTACCTTTCCAGGTGCGTATGCAAGCAGCACGACTATCAATGGAAGGATTTTGGGAAACTGATAATGAATCTAGCTGGACTCCCCGTCAATTTTTAAGGACCAATCCTATGTGAATGGCGCCTGGGTAGCGTCGGCATCTGGAAGACGATTT